TTGTGGGGGGGGGGGGGGGGGGGGGGGGAGGCGGCGGCACATTGGAATTTTGAACTGTAAAGGTCAAAAATAAGCATTTATAAATCTAGAAGGCAAAACAATACCAGAACTGGAATAAAGATATATTTAATAGCGTTAATTATTTTCATCGAATGACGTGAAATACTATTTAAATTCGGTACCAACTCCACTAGCGACCCAACCAAAGATAGAAAAGAATGGAATCTTAAACCAACCATCACATCGGAGACAGTGAGGGTCCGTTGCACGGATATATATATATATATATATATAATAACCACCCCCTTTCTGCTCACACGGCCACGGGATGTACGTGCTTTTGACTGAGTTTATTTGAGAGTATCGCAACAGTAATAGTTTAAAATATTTTTTTATTTAAAAATATATTGAAATAATATTTTTTTATTTTTTTAAAATTATTTTTACATTAACACACCAAACTAATTTAAAAATAAAAAAATCATTTTAAATAAAAAAATTAAATTTTCTTCAATCCAGCTACCTTTTCCTTGGTTTAACAGCTCTATTTTCCTTTTTCACTTTAATTGTTTTCCTTACATCTATCAATTAAATTTTCATGTTTAATTTATTACTGTCTACATAAATCAATAACTATTAAACCGGGTTTATAGTGTAATTAGAATGATTTTTTATTTAATAATATATTAAAATAATATATATACATATATATTTAATTTTTTAAAATTTATTTTTATTATTAATACATTAAAACAATTTTAAAATATAAAAAATAATTCAATAAAATTTAAAATTTTTAAAGAGTACGGCTGGCCGCAAAAACAGATACAAAGGGCCTCTTTTTCCTCGTAGATGCAACACTTTCCACTCATATTTCTAGACTTCTTTCCCTGATTTTATAATTTGAATATAAACCCACACATGCAAGGGTGGTTATGCATTCACTGTATTTTGTCCTCCTGCTTCACCAGGAATCACGTGTTCTGGATTTCTACCTTACAGATAGCACGAAAACCCTTGCTTGTCAGACTACGCTTCATCTGATTTTTTTTTTTATATTTCCAAGCTATCATCAGGTTTACAGATGGGCCATTTTATAGTGTTCAATTTTTCTCTGGGAATAAAGGACTCCAACTTACCAATGGAGTAAAAGGATTGTATAGAGTAAAAGGATTGTATATGTCCTGATTGGAGAACAGGGGCAAGTGAAAAGCACTGCTGAATCATTGATTCATCACAGCGCTGCTGCACCGCTTGCTTGTTAGCTAAGTTATGTCGTCGAACAACTATTTTTGTTCTTTTGCATCCCGTCTTTAAACAATAGCTAGCTTGCTAGACATACCAGGCTTTGCAGAAGGTGGAATTAAGATATCTTACAGCCGTAAATCCCGGACCCAACGGCCTGAAGATCAGCGCAGCCGTGATGCTTATGACGGTGTGCAGGAAATTAACTATTATAAACTAGACTCATGCCTCGTCCTTGTGTCGCCGCTGGCTCAGTTTATCTGAATTATCAATTCAAAATTTGATGTAAATTGTACGACACACTTTATATATATATTGGATAATATTTTATCTAGTCAGCCTAGGTAAATTACTTCGAACATAAGTAACGAGAATTAGATAATTTTATAAAGATAAAATTAAAATAAATTATATATAAAAAAAAGAATGTGATGTAAATAATCTAAGAGTCATGAGTTTTAAATTTATTTTTTAAAAATTATTAATTTAAATTTTATAAATATCAAACCATTAAAAACTTGTATGATTGTTAACTTTAGATGCTATGATATTAGTAGATGAACACGCAAGTTAGCCCGAATACTAACATTAATAATAAAAAAAATGTGTATTATCACCGGAGATTATCAGTTTGAATCCTAAAAATCTCTAGGTTACTAAAAATTTATATAATTATTAATTTTAAAACTTGTAAAATTAATCAAATTTCATATAAGCTAAATCAAACATTCATATTAATAATAGTAATAAAAAAAAGTATGGTGCCATCACCCACACATAGCCAATTCCCTCCCATTTTCTTTCAAATAAGTCCAAGAATTGTCCAATTTTGTATTTGCCCAAAAAGATTTCAATCAATACAACTGATTTTGTATTTTTCTAAATTAAATATCGATCAAGCACCATATATAAACACAACACACACACATATATATATATATAACACGAGAATCCTATGTGAAGCAGATCATCAGACACGATCCGAAATCAAGCAAATACAAATAAGATAATTTTTTTTAAAAAAAATTGAGCAACCGAAAAAATAAATTAAGGGAATGTAGATTCACTTTTGTAATTCATAGTAGTGGTTATGAGTACACGGTTATAATGTTTGCTACTCTAATATCACGAACTCTTTTAGTTTTTTTTTTCCTTAAAATAATAATTAACCCTTACAGGTGTTCGCGCGC